CTGTTCTGCAGGTCGGTCTGAGGCACACTCTCACCTCTCGGGCTGGTGCTATCTTGTATACTAAAAACTATGTATACTATGTTTGCAGTTATGTTCCAATACCTATCACCTATGTTAGACAGTGACTTTCTACTCTAAACCAATCTGTGAATGCCAACATCATCCTGAACATGGATGCCAGGGAGAAGAAAGAAGGACAGGGCACACCCAAATCCTTCCATCTTGGAACCCCTGACCCTCATGTACAGAATTCCAAACCCCTCTGTACAAGGTCCAAAACCCCCCTGTACAGTGCTCCAAAATTTTTCCCTTCACCCTGTGATTGCTACTGCTATGCTACTTAAACTTTTGTGACCTGTAATTCTTCATACAAAGTTGGTAATTTGCTCCATGGGTTGAGATCAAATTTCCAGGTGTCTTTGGCTTCCTGCCAGGGTCTCTGAGCCCCTGCCAGGGTTTTGAGACATCCAGGGCATCCAGAGAGATGTCCTGGGTTCCAACAATTGTCCAGCCCAAGAAGGAGAAAGGAAACAACATGAATGTATTTAACTATGAAAAGAACAAGAGAGAATCTGCCTCCGGCCAGAAATGATGTATAAAACCAGACTGCCTTCATGAACATTTGGGGTCCGCTGCGATAGAGGTCGGATCACGGTTCACCCAGCGCCAAACCCGGGGCCGACACTGTCCCTTTGATTGTGGCTGTCAAGACTGTATATCGATCACCCAATAAATTCTATTTTTTGATTTTTTATTGAATTAGCTTTATCGATTTTTATCTATAACATTCCCAACATGGATCTCTGGCAGCATGGATCACTGGGGCTCTGTCCACTGTGGGTCACTGAGGATCATCCAGAGCAGATCTTCCCGTGGGGAATGGAGCTGGAGCAGCGCATGGAGCTCTTCCTGCACTTGGGGCACTCGCAGGGCTTCCCTTAGTGGTGGCTCTGTTGGTGTCTGGTCAAGTGAGAGTTTGTGGAGAAGCTCTTCCCACACCGGGGACACTCGTAGGGCCTCTCCCCAGTGTGGATGCACCGGTGCCTGACAAGATGGGAGTTGTGCTTGAAGCCCATCCTGCAGTCGGGGCAGTGGAAGGGCCTCTCCTCTGAGTGAATCTGCAGGTGCAGGAGGAGATCAGAGCTGGTCTGAAACCTCTTCCTGCATTCATCACACTCGTAGGGCCTCTCCCCGGTGTGACTCCTCTGGTGTTTGATCAGGTAAGAGCTTGTGCTGAAGCTCTTCCCACACTGCCCACAGTCATAGGGCCGTTCCTTCGTGTGACTCCTCTGGTGGACAATCAGGTAGGGGCTCAGGCTGAAGCTCTTCCCACACTTGGGACACTCGTAGGGCCTCTCCCCAGTGTGGATGCGCCAGTACCTGATGAGAGTGGAGTTGTTCCTGAAGCCCTTCCCACAGTCAGGGCAGCGGAAGGGCCTCTCATCTGTGTGAATGTGTTCATGCTGGAGGAGACTGGAGCTGCTCTGAAACCTCTTCCTGCATTTATCACACTCGTAGGGCCTCTCCCCAGTGTGGCTCCTCGTGTGAATGCGTTCATGCTGGAGGAGACTGGAGCTGCTCTGAAACATCTTCCTGCATTTATCACACCCGTAGGGCCTCTCCCCAGTGTGGCTCCTCTGGTGGACAGTCAGGTGATGGCTCTCACTAAAGCTCTTCCCACACTTGGGACACTTGTAGGGCCGTTCCCCTGTGTGGATTCTCCAATGGTTGATCAAGTGGGATCTCTTGCTGTAGATCTTCCCACATTCCGAGCACTTGTGGGGCTTCTGACCATTGTAAGGATGCTCATGGACCCCCAAGTCCAAGCTCTGGCCGCCTCCCCAGCCCAGGGTGGGTCTTTCCTCCTCAGTTCTCCATGATCTGCATTTGCAGCCCCTCCTCGTGCGGGATCTCCAGGCCTTTTCCTCCAAGTTGGATTCCTGCACCGTGGAGCCGCTCAAAATTTCCTCTCCAACGAGCTTCTGCTGCGGGGATTTGTCCTCCCTGCTCTCCATCCTCAGCTCCTTCCCTGGGGGAGGAAGGACAAGGAGAGAATGGGATTTGCCTCCGTGCCACAGGGAAGGGCAAGGAGATACCCCCAGTCCATCCCCAGCAGGACAGCACTGGCTGCAGGATTGTTTTGCATCTGGGGCCATGCTGGGCTGGGAGATGGAGCAGGAGAGAGGGGGAAAGGGGCACTGACTTCCTCCTCACCTGCCTGGGGCTCCTGGGCCATCTTCCTCCTCCTCACGGCCTGCTCCATTGGACCAAGATTTGGGAAATCCTGGTTTGGGGGGTGTGGTGTTATATATTAGTTAAATGGTATGCTCTGTCTCACCCCTCGATAATGTACAGTTTATTCCAAGCTTGTGATCCTCCTCTGAAGTATCACGTATCTGTAATACCATTGGCCCAAGTCTTATTCCGTGCCTATTTTGAATCTCCCTGTTAAGCTGTGCGAAGAGGCCAGACTCTCTCTTGGCCCTTTTTTCCCTAAGCTCTCCCTCTCTCCCCCTCCCTCCCCTTTCCCCCTTCTCCCTCAGTAACCATGCTGCTCCCAGGGGTGGTACCTCCAATAAACCCTCATCTAATTAGCACCCTCAGAAGCCATATGGAGTCTCCTTGCCTGCTGGCAGTTACCAGTGAACACACAGCTTAGGGGGTCCCCTGGGACTCCCCGGGGAGCCTCCCCAAACAAACTGCAACAGGGGGGAAAACAAGGGCTGAGTGAGTTGTGTTTGATGGTCCTGCTGCCCAAAGTGCAGCTGGAGAAGTCAGAGCCCCTTTCAGCCTTGTGGGCCCCTTACCCTGCTCATCCCCAGCCTCCCCCACCCCTCCAGGCTGCCAGGGTTCTCCCGACTCCAGGATTGCCCCTCTGTGCTCTCCTTGCTCCAGGGCTACCGCATTCCTCCTGGCTTTCTTGGGGATCCCCAAACTCAATATCACCCCTGTGCCCGCTGGTTGTGGGTGATCACCACTTGGGACCTGCCAAGATCCCTGCAGGGGCATTTCCAGCTCAGCTCTGAGGTCCTGAAAGATCCAAACATACCTGCTGAGCAAAAAAACCCTGTCGGAGACCCCCCCACCGATGGATTTGGGGGTGAACTCCCCCTCCCCGCTCACCTGCGGGTACCGGGGGGCGAGCGTGGTCGATGCTGGTGGAACCAGGGGAGCTGCGGTTTGGGCGGGCGGGGGAAACCGCGTGGTTCTACTACTCCTGCTACTCCTCCTCTTCCTCACCCTCCTTTTTCTCTTCCTCCTGCCCTGCTCCGCTCCCAGCCCAGCCCGGGCAGTACCGACACCCAAAAGCAGCCGCGCTCTGCCCTGGGGGGTTGAGTTCCAAAGCGACCCCACTTCAAGCAGCACTGGGAGCGCTACTGGGAGCACTGGGAACAATAGGGAAAGCACCAGGAGCGATCCTGACAGCACTGGAAAGGAATTGGGAGTGCTTTCCCTGCCAGTGCCGCTCTTACTGGGAGCACTGGGAGGGAACTGGGAGCGAACAGCGTCCGGACGGGGCTGCAACCGGCGGTGGGTGGGGCCAAGTCAAAGGGCGTGGTTATGAAAATGCAAATACAGCAGCAATGGTGCACTGGGATTGGTGGGTACGAGTGTCGAAACAGCATCCGGACGGGACTGCAACCAGCGGTGGGTGGGGCCAACTCAATGGGCGGGGTTATGAAAATGCAAATACAGCAGCAATGGTGCACTGGGATTGGTGGGTACGAGTGTTTCCTCGGTCCGGTGATGGCCACGGTGTGGGCAGGGGGCCGGAGCAATGATGGGGGTTCCGGTGAGAGGGGACAAGGGAGCGGGTACGGGAAGATGGGAACAGGACCGGGGCCGGGAATGAGACTGGAAATAAGAGATAGAGACAGGGACAAGAACCAGGAATTTGGGACTGGAACCGGGAATGGGTACAGGGACAAGTAATACGGGACTGGTAATGGGGACTGGGAATAGCAAAGGGAGTACGGTGAGAGAAGTGGAATGGGACCAGGGATGGGAATATTAGAATGGGACAGGGAATATGGAAACAGCATCTGGAGAGAGAATATGGGATGGCAATTAGGAAGATGGGATCGGGATTGGAAATGGGAGTACGGGATGGGGAGTGGGAGTATGGGAATGGACAGAGAATATAGAAATGGAAATGCAGGACCGGCAGCGGAACCAGGAATACGAGAACGGAACCAGGACAGGGAATATGGGACTGGATATATGGGAATGGCACCAGACAGAGGATACGGAACAGAGACTGGGAATGAGACTGGGAGTGGGATCCTTACGGGACCAGGAATGGGGTGACACGGTGTGGTGGGTTCAGTGTTGGCTAAATGCTCATGTACTCTCTAGAATTATTTACTTAATTCTTGTTGTGGGATAGGATTAAGAGGAAGTTAAAGTACGTTTAAAACTTTAACAGGGTATAAAGAAAACTTTAATAATAACACTAAAAGAAAGAATAATAAGAATCAGAATAAAACTTTTAGAACACTTCTCATCTCCCCACAACTTTTTTTTTTTGTTGTTGTTTTCTACTGACAATGTATAGAGATAATTTGGTATTATCACGCATTTCACTTCTGCTAAAATAATCTTTCATCAATTTTCTTAGGGAGAGTATTGCCGGCCGAGGGCTATGTACACATCACGAATGGAACGGGACTGCTGTGGAATGCATCTCGAGCTGTTTATTTTCCAGCATCAGTCTCATTACATGCTTATGACAATGGGAAGATGCCAGCAGCTCACGTTCTCGGCAGCAGCTGAAGAACTCAATGTTACAACTCACTTTAAAAGTTTTTTGACCAATCACACAAAGCAAAAGCATATTGACATTAGTTCTATCCAATCACCATAAGCACATGTACCTTTTTTGTTAAAATTATGTTTGCTGATTTTGAATACAATAGCTGCTTGTAACCATTAAGATACAATGCACAGAGCTCCATTATTAAGCTTAGAACTTCCTAGTATCTCACTAGATATACTTTTCTGTAGCTTAGGGAGTTACTCTAGCCAAGTGTTAATACACAGACCATTGTTCTATTTGTCCTTACTTTCTAATTCTCATATAATTTTTCTGCTGACAAATCTTATGGCTACTGCTTAGCTCTAATCACAGTTCTGCTGTCTCCAAGGCCTGTCTTTTGCAGCTTTCCCAAAACCCTCTGACTTTAAGGATTTCCACAGAGAGGAGTCTTTCTTGCCATGGCTATGGAGATTTCTCTACAAGAAACAGTGTTCTTGTGGCTTCAATTTTCAAGAATAGCAGCCACTTGGGAACTTGCATTCGATAAGTCCTTCTCATCTTTCACAGCCTTCCCACAGCTGTGTTCTTGGGCTATGTTAACTTATTGGGGTGCTATTTTTAAGGATGAGCTGTTTAAAAGCAAAGGTTCTTTTTATGTATCTCTGAAATCATCTTCATCTCTGAGAACAGAGGTTTTCTTCTTCTTTCCTGGGAGCAAAGTGGCTTCATTACTTTTGTCTCTCTCTGTCCAAGCTTCTCATCAGGATTGCAGCTACTTTAACGTCTGTTCACTTTAGCATTGGTGCCTCTCTTCATGACGGTAATTAAAACACTATATCCTTCTAATGCATTTTAGTGAATTACAGGGAAAAAGAGTCTGATGTATCAATTACATTCTTCTCTATAGCCTTACGGGAGGATTTCAGACTAAAACTAAGACTTAATTTTTTTGCTATCTGGGATTTGACTCCTTTCTACTGGCTTTGGTGATTTTTTGTTATCTTCTATATGTCTTATTTTTTTTTCTCTCACTCAAGAGAGGATTGAAGGTCTGTAAGTTTCGTTTCTGCAGTGGAGGGGTTGATGTTACCCAGGCCTTGCATCATTCTTGCTGTTGGTTCTGTGATTCCTGCCAGGCAGTGCTTGCAGCAGTCGTAGTGCAGTATTTCAGGCTGCACTGAGGGGGCTCTGCCAGGATTGCAGGAGGGTTTGGGCTAGAACAGCAGCATGCCACAGGCCAATGGCTTCCCCTCCCTCTGCTCAGCAGTTTCTGGTGAAATCCAGCTGAGCCACGCTGGGGAGGAGGCTGGGATCTTGGAAGCCAGGTAGGGGAGCTGCCCCAGCCCAGCAACTGCAGGCGGAGCTCAGCAACGGCCCACACAGAAATGTGAATCTCACAAAGGTGAATCTATCTTTAATGGGCTTATTAACATGCCTGTTCTCAAAACTAAGCAGCAATTGGTTTTGCTAGGCACAGAGAAGCTCTCATCAGATCTCTTAAAAAAAAAATCGTTTCAGTGTGTGGCTCCATCCCTCCTCACTAAACGTCAGTTAATGCAAAACCAACAGACATGGGAAGCAGTGGGGGGGCAATAAGAGCAAAAGTGGGGAGAGGGGGATCCTGGACAGGGGACACTGGGAACCGGGACAGGGGGACATGAGCACAGTTCCAGGGCAGGGGGGCCTTGATCAGCTGCCCCAGAACCTCCACCAGGGTCTCCCAGTGCAGCCAGAGCCCCTTGGCCTGGGCTGCCCAAAGCCCTGAGCAACCCCCAAATCCCTCCCAGGAATGCTCAACTGCCTCGAACCCAGCATCCCCCATCCCCTGAATGATCCCTCCATGTCCCAATCATAGTCTTCATTCAGTCTTTATTTTTACCCCAGTTTTGGGTGTTTTTGGAAACGACAAAGAGAAATGAAAAGAAAATCAAGGGCACAGGGAGCCAGGAAGAATTGGAGCCCCCCAGGCAGGTGTCTTCCCAACAGGGATCACTGACACCAGGGATCACCAGGGCTCTGCTCACTGGGGGTCACTGGGGATCATCCAGAGCAGATCCTCCCATGGGGATGGAGCTGGAGCAGCACACAGAGCTCTTCCCACATTCAGAGCTGCTCTCTCACTGCCCTCCAGAGATGGAGAGGAGAGAGAAAATAGAATGAAGGCTTCACGTCTTGAGTTAAGGACTGGGACAGATCTCTCTGCAAATGCCATCATGGGCAAAACAGTTCAAAATTAGAGACATTAATTGAATTTATTGC